AAAAAAAAAAAAAAAAAAAAAATCAGTTTTTATGAAAAGTGGCAAAGTGGAGGGTGGGTCCCTATGGTGCAGAAGGGAAATTCCATGGTCCTGCAGTGCATCCGACTGGCATGGCTGTTGAAATCCTCTTCCAGCAGGCAGCTTTGGAAACAGAAAAAGAAACTCTTCCTCCTTTAGAATCCTGGAAGGACTGTGCAGTGCCTCTAGTCCAAGTCCTTTGTTTTCTGAATGAAGATAGTGAAGGAAGTTCATCTCCAGAAGGGAAGGGGCTGGAAATGAGGTCACTACATCCCAACCCAGGGTGCCTGGATGATCCAGGAAGGGAAGAAGGAGCAAGCTTTCTCATTCTTAGGTAGAAGCTCAGAGCAACACAAGAATAAGTTAGCACCATCCCTATGCCCTCCCTGTTCCGCAAACGGAATAATCTTCCTTCTTGCCCTGGCACTAGAGTGTGCCTGGTATTTCTCTTACTACTAGTACCCCTCTCATCTGGGTACTTCTTCCATTGGTACACTGAACAAACACATCCACCGCTTACTCACAGCTTGCAGCCCTCATTTTCCAGGGCCCACACCATTTGTTTACTAACCCGACAAGGTTGCCCACTGTCCCCAATAAGGTTTGTGCTGGGGTTTTCACTCCAATGCTCTCCTCCATCCAGGAGACCTTTGGATACTTGGGGAAGCAAATGAGCTTCAGTTCCACCCCTCCCGCTGTACCTTTTTCCTGTGAGGCCCTGGCCTCAGTTCTCAGCCCCACTTCCTTGCTAGCTGCAGAATAGCAGCGGGTTCTGGGTGAGGAGCATTCTGCTAAAAGCCCATGGGCTCCACCCTGCTCCCTCATCTGTCCTCTCCATTTGTCCCCATCAGATGGTTTAAGCAGCTTAAGGGGACTCCAAGGCATAGTCAGGGAGAACCCTGGTTCTCCTGGACTGGGCACAAATCATTCTACAGGAAACCTTGTGGGAATTCTTCTGGGACAAAATACTGGTCAGCGCTGAATTCAGCTGTGTCTGTGACACTCCCATCCTAACTAGGGCCTATCTGACGTCAACAGGAAGTAAGGCTGATGCTGTGGGCCCAGGGAGTCTGAGAGAAGAAAGTCAGTTCAAAGCCCTGGCTGCCCTATCCCACACTCCACCCTTCTGGCAAGAATCCAGTCCCTGGATGAGGTGGGGAGTGAGTGGTGGAGTTAAAAATCTCTGGGCCGGGGACGGTGGCTCATGCCTGTAATCCCAGCACTTTGGGAGGCCAAGGTGGGTGGATCACTTGAGGTCAGGAGTTTGAGACCAGCCTGGCCAACACGGTAAAACCCCATCTCTACTAAAAATACAAAAATTAGCTGTAATCCCAGCTACTCGGGAGGCTGAGGCAGGAGAATCACTTGAACCTGGGAAATGGAGGTTGTAGTGAGCCAATATCACGTCCACTGCACTCCAGCCTGGGTGACAGGGCAAGATTTCCACTCAAAAAAAGAAAAAAATCTTTGGGCTAAATCTCCAGACAGCACGGGCAGGTGCAGAAACCCACCAGAAAGCTGTCCAGACCCAAGCCTTTTGTGCAGCTTGGGTCAAGGCTAAACGTCATGTCACAGTGATTTTTCTCACTATGTATGAGACATGGAGAGCTGACTCCCAAGTACTACTGCTCTGCCCACTGGTGGCTGGACTACTGACGTGCACCACTCTCCACTCCTCACCCTGCAGTGGGTCATGGCCCTGTGCTGGGGCAGAGGAGAAAAATGGGCTGCCTTCTTTAGGACAAACCCTCACTCCAGCTCAACTAGGGTGCTGTGATCAGAATGTACAGTTGAGGTGTGATTTTACTTTATTCTTTGTTGTTTTTGTTTTTTGTTTTTTGAAGCAGGGTCTCACTCAATTGCCCAGGCTGGAGTGCAGTGACACAAAAATAGCTCACTGTAGCCACAATCTCCCAGGCTCAAAAGATTTCTCTCACCTCAGCCTCCTGAATAGTTGGGACTACAGGCACATGCCACCACATCCGTTTAATTTTTTTTCTTTTTTTTTTAGTAGAGATGAGGTCTTGCTATGTTGCCCAATCTGGTCTCAAACTCCTGAGGATCATCAAGTGATCCTCCTACCTTGGCCTCCCAAAGTGCTGGGATTGCAGATGTAAGCCACTACACCCATCCTGATTTTACTTTAAATGAGAGTCCCTCCTTAGAGTCCCTCAGCTGTTCCTGGCCCCTGGCCATGCGCCTTCAGTTGCCCCTGCTTCTGTGGTATCCTTAGGGCTACACTGAGGCACTAGGCAGGTAGCGGAGAGAAGCCAAATGATTCTGCCTTTGCCTTATCTATTCATAGTGTGCAGAACCAGAAGCAGTGGTGGGTTCAGGGCGGGCACCAGCTGGGCAGCTATGTATATATACATCAGTGACGAGGCCAAAGGCAGTCAGTTTCCAAGCACTGCCCCAGAGGCCATTTTTCAGAGAAGCCCTGGGTTCCTCAAGGGCCCTGTGTCCATGCTAGCCCATCTTGCAGGACGAGCCTGTGGAGTGGGAGACACCTGACCTTTCTCAAGCTGAGATTGAGAAGAAGATCAAGGAGTACAATGGCCAGATCAATAGCAACCTCTTCATGAGCTTGGTGAGTTGACTGATCAGGAAGGGAGTGTGGAGAGAAGGTACCCAGCTGTGTGCCTAATACCCAGAGGGTCACAGCTGAGGTATTCTTGGGTGGTGATACCTCAAGCAGTAATTACCAAGCAGTAATTAGTACATACCCAGCCTAGCCTCAGGTAGACAGAACCCTAGTGCTTCGTCTCACCTGGAACCTACTGTCAAGGTTTGGTTTCTCTATTTATTTAGAACAAGGACGGCTCTTACACAGGCTTCATCAAGGTTCAGCTGAAACTGGTGCGCCCTGTCTCAGTGCCCTCCAGCAAGAAGCCACCCTCCTTACAGGATGCCCGGCAGGGCCCAGGACGGAGTGCAAGTGTCAGGCGCCGCACTTCCTTTTACCTGCCCAAGGATACTGTCAAGCACCTGCATGTGCTGTCACGCACAAGGGCACGTGAGGTCATTGAGGCCCTGCTGCGAAAGTTCTTGGTGGTGGATGACCCCCGCAAGTTTGCACTTTTTGAGCGGGCTGAGCGTCACGGCCAAGGTGGGCTTCCTACCCTACCCTGCCCCGTTTGAGGGTATATACCGTGCATGCAGGGACTGAGCAGCTGGCCTGTCTCTGATCATTACTTTCCCTTCACAGTGTACTTGCGGAAGCTGTCAGATGATGAGCAGCCACTGCGGCTGCGGCTACTGGCGGGGCCCAGTGACAAGGCCCTGAGCTTCGTCCTGAAGGAAAATGACTCTGGGGAGGTGAACGTGAGTACATAGTTCTCCTTAGTTTCTTGGTTGTCACTGGACGGGGCTGATGGACTGTAGCTACAGTAAGGCTTGGAGGAGGAATTGTGCTGGAGGACAAGCCTTGCAAAGCAGTTTTAGGAGTGTATAGGCATTGTAACTAAAGCGAAGGCTTCCAGGCCACTCATGCCAAAGCATAGGGTTGTCCCGAGAGGCCAGGAAGAATTGTCTTGGTGCTTTGATCTTTCCTGGTGTGGAAAATCTTCTGGAGATGCAGGAGTCCATCTAATGACATGAAGGGGCCCCTTCGGGCATTAGACTTTTTACCTGGAAGCTGTGGAGTGGAATTAGACCCAGAATGTGCCTGACGTGTCCACAGGGAACATCTGATTTGGTTGCCTCAGTAAGGTGACCATTTTGTAGGACCCATCTTCCATACAAACTGCTGTCACAGATCCTAGCAGAGCTCATTCAGCCAGGAGCCTGACATCAGAAAGCCCAGTCCTAGCTCGTGTGAACATGAGGTGCTAGTCTTCTCTGAGGAGGGTCTGCTGGCTTGGCCATCCCTTCTGTAGCCTGTATTCCCCTTTACCCCCTTGCAGTGGGACGCCTTCAGCATGCCTGAACTGCATAACTTCCTGCGTATCCTGCAGCGGGAGGAAGAGGCGCACCTTCGCCAGATCCTGCAGAAGTATTCCTATTGCCGCCAGAAGATCCAAGAGGCCCTGCACGCCTGCCCCCTGGGGTGACCTCTTGTACCCCCAGGTGGAAGGCAGAGAGCAGGCAGTGCCAAGAGCATGCTGTGTTGCTGTGTGAGTGTGACAGGGCCAGTGGGACCTGTGGAATGAGTGTGCGTGGAGGCCGTCCTCTGCTGGGGGAATGAGCCCAGAGAACAGTGAAGGGGCTTGCCACCTGTGTCCACCTGTGGGTGTAGCTGGGTATGGCTCTGCACCCCTCTGCCCCTCTGTACTGGGCGTTGGTGGGCCAGGGCTACCCTGGGAAGCTGCTCCAGGCTTGGAGCAGGAGTGGAGCAGACAGAAGTCTCCTCAATTTTGTGTCTCAGAAGTGAGAATCTTGGAGACCCTACAAACAGAACAGGGTCATGTTTGCAGGGGTGAGGGCCCTCATCTATGGGGAAAGGTTTTGGATCTTGAATGTGGTCTCAGGATATCCTTATCAGAGCTAAGGATGGGTCCTCAGAATAAGGCAGGCATTGAGAAAGAGTCTTGGTTTCTCTCTATAGTGCCAACTCCTCACACACCCCGAGGTCAGGGAGTGCTGGCTCACAGTGCAGCAAGTGCCTTAATGCCTATCCCTGGGCCAGGGTCTGTGTGAATGTGGGCACTGGCCCAGATTCATACCTCATTTGCTAATCAAAGCCAGGGTCTCTCCCTCAGGTATTTTTCATGAAGTGTGTGAATGTATGTAATGTGTGGTGGCCTCAGCTGAATGGCTCCTGTGGGGAAAGGGGTCGGGGTGACAGTCATCATCAGGGCCTGGGGCCTGAGAGAATTGGCTGAATAAAGTTTTAAAGATCCTCCTGTTCTTGGACTCTTTTTTACATATAAAGTATTGTAGAGATGGGAGTCTCTCTGTGTTGCCTAGGCTCCTGCCAACTTGGCCTCCCAAAGTGTTGGGATTACAGGTGTGAGCCACCATGTCCAGCCTGGACTCTCTATTATAGGCACACAGCTGCAGTTGTCCCTCATGCTGCTGGAAGTTGCCAAGGGTGATGGACAGGCCCACAGGTGTCTTGCAAAGTCACCATGAACCAACTTGTGAAGAAGATGTATCCATATATAGTTGGTCATCACTCAGCTCCCTGAAGCTCAGGTTCTGGTGGGGACAAGAATGGACTACAGTTAGAACTTAGGGAAACTGGCCTGGGCATGATGGCTCACACCTGTAATCCCAGCACTTTGGGAGGCCAGGGTGGATCACCTGAGGTCAGGGGTTTTCAAGACCAGCCAGACCAACAAGGTGAAATCCCGTCTCTACTAAAAATTTAAAAAAAAAAAAAAA